TTTATTAAGACTTGTTCCCATCAGGGATGGCTTCTGTCTGAGAGAAGCTGGTTGGCAAACCCCAAGTGTCAATGCACTAATACAATGAGAGTATCTAGCATCCCATGTTTATTCCATGTAGGAGTTCTTTCAACTGCACTGGACAATCCTGCTCTGCAGTTCCTTTTCAGTGGGGGGTTGGGAGAGCTGGTTTCCTGGTGTCATTCACAATACTTTGGGTGGACTGGCATTAACACCCCCAAACCAAACACTTCTCCACTCCCTTCAGGCACTTTCTGGTGCTTCTGCAGCATATTGGTTCTTAGCCAGGGCTCAAGTCAACTGAGAGCAAAGAAAATCAAACACAAAAATTTTAATGAGAATTCGCACTTGTGTAGATAGATTCAATTAGAGCCAATTAGCAATTATGGCAACTTCTTCTGCTGTCACGAGGCCTAATAGGAGAATTCCAGAGAACAGAAAGAATTCTTGAGAGTGCTATTAATTCACACAAGTACTAGGCTAAGAATTTCACATCAGAAAAAAAAATCCAAAATGGAAATAATAAAACACAATTAGCAAATTATTTGCAGAAAGCTCCCAGAGACCTGAAACCAGAACATTTTTCTGCACAGGAGCAGCGTCCATGTATCCAGCTTCGAGGCTCATCCTGGGAGGGCCACTCCTTGAGCCTTGCTTGCATAGAGGAGACTGAGCACTGAGCAACAAAAATACTTGCCCTAAGTTGTGCAGGAGGTGAAAAGCAGAACCAAGCCCCCGTGTCTTCTTCACAGCTCTATGACACTTCCCTTTGATTAGAAGTTTTATCCTAACACATAGACTGTCAGTAGATTTTTCCCTATTACTGAGGACTGAACTGAGGGCCTCTGTACTAAGCTATTTCCCCTATCGTTTTTTTAATTTTTAATTTTGAGACAGGGCCTCACTAAGTAACTGAGTTGCCCGGCCTGGGCTCAAATTTTTGCTCCTTCTGCCTCAGCATCTTGAAGAGCTGGGGTTCCCGGTGTGTGCACTGCACCCATCTAGGGCTGTTAATAGACTTTTAAAAACATGTGCCTGATTCTTTCCTGTCTATGTTGTAGAGGAGAGCCTCTAACACAATGTCTGCCCTCATGATAAATGCAAGCACCTGACTCTTGGCCCCGTGCTGCCTGCCTCCCAGCAGCTGTGGGACAGCGGTGTCCAGTGGCTGTGCAACCGAGGTGTGTGTGGGCTTCTAAATGCCCAGGCAACCACTTAAAAAGGTGAAGTTCATTTTAATGACATGTTTTCAGATTCCAACTTCTCCGAAGTGATTCAAATGTAGTTACTATGTCATGTGTCACTGACAAGTTTATGTTCTTTGTTAAGATCCAGGATGTCTTTGAAGTTGACTGCCCGGTTTAAGGAAGATGCTTAATTCTCATGGGGAATCATCTGTATTTAGACTTGTGTTTACAGTTGGAAAAGTTGCTCCAAAGTTACTTAAAGGTTTCAAATCACTGAATGAAGTGTTAATTTTTAAATATATTTAAATATAAATAACAGGAAATGAGATTGAAATTTCAGGGGGGCCTGGCCCTAGCTCAGTTCTTTAGTGGCTGCTTCTGCAAAGCTGTCAGCCTCAGGTTGCTGTAGTTCGATCCCTACAACTCCAGCCAGCCAAACCTGCCCTGAAGGCATTCAGAGAAAAAAAAAAAAAAAAAAAAAGAAAAGAAAAGAAATTTCAGTTCTTCAGTTGACCAGCCATCTTTCAGGTGCCCCACAGCCACAAATGGCCTGTGGTCAGCCTATCTGACAGTGTAGATGTAGAGCAAGAATCCACGGTGTTTCTGTCCAGGGTAGGAGAGTATTGTGTTCTAGGCTGCATGTGCCGCATGATCTCTGCCCAAGACAGGACAACAACCCCTATGTACACACATCCCAGACAGCCCTGGCAGGGGTACAGTGCATTACCAAGGATCTTTAGTGATTCACTGTCCCTTTTCCTCCCCATATTTCACTATACTGGTGAGACTCAGAAAGTTGGGGCTGGGAGATGGCTCAGTGGAATAAGCGCTTCCCTGGCAAGTTCAAGGGCCTGAGTTCAATCCCCAGGTGGTGGTGGGGGGAGGGTTGTGGGGGAGGGGAAGTTGGGAAGAAATTTGATCTCCCCTGGGAGAGCTGAGGTGTCAGTTTCCTCCTTATTTAGGTCCCATGGGAAGATGCAAGTGTAGCTTAATGCAGGCTCTGAGAAAGCCTAGGTCTGCCCAGCGCCTCTGGTGGCTTCCTCAGAGGGCCTCTGGGTGGAGCTGGTGGGAAGAAAGGGGAAGACTCCCACAAATCCTGAGTGGATGCGCTACCCTTTTCTTTCTCTTCAAAGAGCTTTCTTATTTGAAGCCTGCATGGTTTCCACCAATTATGGGATTAACATTAAATGCCACATAGAGAATTCAGACTCCCAAGTCTTCCAGTCTTGGGAAGATGGTTTTTGTCTATGAAACTCACAAGCCACTGGCAGATCAGAAAAGACAATGAAGAGCCAAATCAAAAACAGTGAGGCAGATCAACGGTCTCCCCCCATGACTGCATCACTCTGCCCAAAGTGTCCAACCAGGAAAGTGGCCTCAAAGCCCAGCTACCTGAGGATGAAGAAACCTCCTAGACCAAAGAGTTATGGAGCTGGGAGCACCCAAAGTAGCTCTCTAGTCAAATTTATCACATGGGTATGTGCTGCCCACAGGGGGTCCTGGGGCTTTGGAGGGGAGATGGGCACAGTCACTGATGAAACAGGTTAGAAAGCCAGGCTGGGGCAGGGTACTTTGGAAAAATGAGAGCTCTCCATCCAACTGCAGTTGTCACTGTGACTTGATCCAGAATTTCAGTTGTCCTGGCTGTGAGCTGGGCTGGTCTTTGGTGTGCTATGCAGACATCTCCTGAGATTGGATTAAACATTTCTCTCTGGCATCAGTGAGCCTTGACCTGTGATTGTGTGTATCAGGGTGCCTATCCTAGCCTCAGGCATTCGCAATCAGCCCTTAATATTTAAATATTCTCCCCATTTAAAAAATTAACATATACTTTACATAGAGCAAACCTACCCCTTTCACATCCAGTGGACATAAAATGATTCTGTAACCCATTCATCCTTCCTACCACCGTCCCTGCATTTATAGGGCAAGCTCTATGGCTTTCAAGGTCCCATGTAAAATGCAGGCAGAAAGGCCATTAGCAGTACTAAAGTAAAAAGCTTTTTTATTTGCTCTGTAATCTTTCATGACTTGTGGTTTTCAAAATGTTTTGGTATTTAATATTGTAAGTAAAAAAAAATTAAAATTACATTATTAGCATAAATCATACCATCTTTTCAATTGTCTTTGCATTGTGCAATGCCAGGTCTAAATGCAATAGGAGGACATTTAGAGGGCGCGTGGAGTTGCTAGAGCAATCCGCTTCAGGCCTGGCATGTGCCTGTTTGAGTCAGATTGGAACCGAAGACTGCACATTTCACTTTCTGATGTATATACTTTCCACCAGCCCCAACAGAACTGGAAATTGTCACACACTGTCCTTGCATGTATCTTGAGTTCTCTATATTCCCACACGGCATGGACCCAGAAAGAGTGCAGACCCGCACAGGAGAGGGCAGTAAGGGGTGGTGGTGGGTAGGCGTTTTGCACGCATCCACCTTCTTTGCTCCTGGGCACCACCAGTGGTCTATCACGCTCCACTTACAAAACACAAGTTCAAAGGCAAAACGATTAAATTTCAGGATAGTAATAGCTGAACATTAAACTAAGTGCGGCCGTTTGGGAGCACACAGCCCCATGTCTCTCACTCATTAAATTTGTGGTCAACTCCTCCTTAGCCTCAAGTCACTGACAACTGTGGTTCTTTCTCTGCCTTTCCAAGAACGTGACATAAGGGAATCACACAGCCTGTAACAGTCCTGTGAATCTGGGTCCTTGTAGCTCCTGTGGTGCGTAGGAAATCACCCATGTTGGCACTCCGTATCCATTGTCCTGATGGACCGCGGTTCATCCTCCTGAGGGAAGGACAAACAATTTTAGTACTGAGGGGATGTTTCTGTTCTTTGAAATTTCAGGTCAAGTAGATTTTTCTGGGGGTGGGAGAGATCTTGAGCACCGTTTCCTGAATTATACCCCCCATATTTGTGGCCATAATCCTTGTCTCTCCCTGCTTCTCACAGGTGTGGTCAGGAGGAGGGTAGCCGACACGTGAAGGAAACAGAGAACTCGGCCTGAGGATGCTCTGGGAAGGACCATGGAGGGCAAGCTTCAGTTGGGGACCCCATTGCTGATGGGAATGATACGGGCTGTGCACACAAGCTTGCTGTGTGGTCGGTGTGTGGCAGGGAATTCTCACTTCTACTTCACCAGGTGAATTTATTCTTGAATAAATCCACCAATCTGAACCCGCTTTGTAGAGGCTGTTCTATCCCAGCCCCGTGATTGAGCTTTCAAAAAAATTCTAAAAATCAGAGACCAGTATTTCCAACTGGCCTGGAACCCAGAGAGCTTCTGTTGGCTTCCAGCAGGATTGTTTTTGGGGCCTGCCATCACCTGGAGGAGTGACAGCCTAGATGAGGAATGGAAGGGACTTAACACACCACATGTAGCTCACCAAGCAAGATATGGTAGCTGGCACATCATCTAGACACATTCGGTCGGCCTCTGGGGTTTAAAGAAGTATCAGAGGCTGCTGGACTTTGACTTTAGCCCAGGGGCACATCTTCCTTCCATCCACAGGTATTGTAGGGCAAGCTCCATGAGTCTCCACATGGTGGAGTGTGCTTGGTTCCTGAAACAACAATAAGTCTCCCAGGTGGCCCTGATACAGGACAAGGGTGTGGCAAAGTTGGTGGGGGGAGGATAGTGGAGCTGTCAATTACAAGATCCCAAAGTGGGGCTCAGTAATTCATCGGACCCCTGTAGTGGATGGTTGATTGTGTCAACTTGACAGGTTCAGAGGCTTGGCTCAGTAGACTCAGCAAGTGTACACTCTAGGGTGTAGAGGAGCTGCCCTAGGGTGGCTTGATGCCTGATGGCATGAAAGGGGAATAAGGATGGAATTGCTCTGCTTGGAGGAACTCCAGCTTTGCCTTCAGCTTGGACATCATTTCCTGGCCTCCAGAGCAGACTCCTCAAGTGCAGCCTTGGATCCTTCAGCCCTCCATCGCAGATGCATCAGCCTTTTGACCTGGACTCAAGCAGGACACTGCAGTGAGCTCCAGACCTTGGACTGAAGTCCTCAGTCTCCAGTATGCAGACACTTCTACATCCAACCCCATGGCTGACCATCCTAAGCCAGGCTTGTATCTTGTGTGTGGAACTCTGGTGGCCTCCATGAGATGTGGACAGCATAAAAGGAGATGAGACAACAGGGAGCCGCTGTCGTGACTTCTCACAATCACCTACCTGGCATCTCTGGCATGCAGGGAGCACTTTTAATTTTACTTTTTCTCTTTTTCTCTTGTTTGGTGCAGATTCACTCTGCATAGATAGTTCTTCCCTTTTGCTGTCGCCCCTCACTTTTCCAATAAAACTTTTGACACCGATTTTGGCTTGTGTCTTCCAATTCTTTGTTCAAGGACAGAAGGACCTGGGATAGACTCCTGAGCCATTTCTAAAGGAACTACCCAACAGCGCCCCCAGCAGGACTCTCAGATGTGCAGTAGGAGCCCTCATGCTCCCAGGTTGGCTCTCGACCCTCCAGTCTTCCTACTCCCTGCCAGCACTCCCTGGGATCACCCTCAAATCATGCATGTGGGTCTTTATCTCTGGGGGGAGTTCAAGGTAGCAGAGGGGAGTGGAGCCCCTGGCTGGAGTCCCAGGCACTGTGGCACTCACAGCTTTCTCTCTCTGTCTATCAGGCTCTGCTGAGACAGTGTCATGGACACTTTGCAACCAGCCTCGCTCCCCAGTCATGTGCCTGCTCTCTGTCCTGCAGCTGCTAACTGCATGGTAAAGGAGGTGCTTGGCTCTTCCTTGTTGTTTAACTTGAGTGCAGTTCCTGGCACACAACACAGCCTGGTTTTATCATTGTTATTGTTGATTAAGATGAAATGGTAATAGAGACTTTTAAAAATGTTGCTTTGCATTTAAAGATGCAAGTGGACAGAGGAAAAAAAAAAGTCACATTGAATGCAAGAATTATAGGAATCTTCAGAAGTTTGGCACCTTGGTTAATTTGGGGGAGCAAGGGAAGGCCCTGAAAGGCAGAGTCTTCACTCGACAGCTCCTTGGCCCTGGCTGTGGGTCCTCCCTAACTCATTTTTGGCCTGCTCCGTGGGTCAATGGCACATTTTTAATCTCAGATCCCTCTTCCACTTTGCTGACTAGCTGCCTGCCTGAACTCCGTTCCTGGAGATGTTATCTTGTCCTCCTGTGCATCCCCTGTGTGGGCAGCTTCACTTTTTCTAGGCTGAGGATGTGTTCTTGGATTCCTGGGTTGAAACTCAGTGCTTCAGAGAACAAGCTGTGAGCAGCCTCAGGCTGGTGATGGAGGGAGGCCAGCCGCATGGCAGGGTCTCCTCTTGTGTGACAGCGCTAGGAACAGGCACTTATTTCTCCTCCTCCTTCTCTGCCCACTCACCTTCCCCAGAGCTCCATGCCCAAAGGTCAGCGTGACCTGTGGGCAAGAGTCCAGGTTCCAGTTCTGGCTGGCATATACATTTATAGCCGTGTAATCATCAGCAAGCTCCACACTTTTGTTTTCCTATCTGTAAAAAGGAGTAAAAATAATAGTATCTATTGGGATTTTAATTAATTATTCTGAGGAATAACATACATAGGTGTTGTGGTTTACATCTAAGATGTTCCCAGAAGTCTCACATTAGAGGTGGGTTCTGGGTCATTGAAGCAGGACCTGGAGTGTTGTATTCTCCTCCCTCATGCTCTTCTGTCTCTGTCTCTGTCTCTCTCTATCTCCCCCTACTTCCTGGTCACCACAGGGTGAGGAGTTTCCTCTGCCACGTGCCTTCCCAGGCTATTTCTGCCTTGGAGCTGGAAAGGTATAGACTGAACCTACAGAAACCATAAGCCAGATGATCTTCTCCTTTAAACTGCTGTTGTCAGAAGTTTCACATATATTATTCTACATAGTGGGAAGACTTTCACAAACCGAACACACTCGGGTAACCAGCAACTAGATCAAGAATCCTGCAATCTTAAGTGTTCTCATCTCCCTCTGCCCCATTTTGGGTTGGTATTGAGGATCAGTAACCTAATGCCTGATATACAGGAATGACTTCATCACAATCTGTTTTAAAAAAATAAATTAACCTTGGTTTTAGTTCCCCACCAATCTCTTCCTTTTAATTAATTAATTAAAAAGATGTGCTGGCAGAATGAAGTGCAGATGCTTCCTGCAGGTGGGCTAAGTCCTGGCTTTCATGCAGATTAGCACCTCCCCTCTCTCATATGGTGCAGTTGGCAGGATGAGCGAAGAGTCCTTGAGTTAATCAATCATTTCCTTACCCCTGAGGGCCAGGTGGCACATTGTATGGCAAGTGGCTCCCGTGGAATGTCAACAATTTGTGTAGATGAAATAAAGAAGCAATCAGGCCACTGTCAGACTCAACAAAGGGCCAGATGCTGTCGCATGTGGTAGCCAGGGTCCTTGATGAGGAAACAGCACAGCCTGGGCCCTGGATAGCAGAGCCAGAAATCAAGGTCTAGGCAGGAGAGGAGGGGACCCCGGTATGGCTTCCTGAATCCCCTGCACATCCTGTGAGTCACACAAGGGAGGCTGGGCTGAGGAAAGTGCCTGTAGAAATGGCCAAAAGGAACTGAAGCAAGGCTGAGAGAATTAGCACGTTCACAACTAAATTCACACACTGTTTTAAAACTTATGAATGGAGGAGTTACTTATACTGTTATGATGTGTTATTGCACTTTCCTTTCACACTGGAGTACAGCTACGTTCCTTTCCTTATCTTTGTGACTCAAGGACCAAAAGAAGGAAAAAGCTGATCACATCAGACAGTCGAGTTAAATCAAATGATTTAGGAAGGGAAGAATGGGAGTTTACAATGTATTTTTTGGAGCACATTAAATTCTGGAAAATGATCAATATTCTGTTCCGTTATTTCTTAGAGCCTCCTCTAAGAAGACAAATGATGCCGGTGAGAGGTGGAGGAGGGGATGGTGTTTCCTGATGGATGGGGCTGGGGCAGGAGGCAGCTGCCAGAGCTTGTGTCGGATCTACCTGGAAGACACAAGACATGCTCACAGTGGCCAGGGAGAAGTTCCACGCAATAGCAGCACTAAGGAAACAGCCAGGTGACAGTGTCTAGAAATCTGTAGTGTTTTTTGGTTGGCAAGGAGACTTTAAACTCTTAGCTCCTACTGGTTACAATACAGATGCTATTTTTCAAAATTACTATATAAAGCAGGCATGGTGGTTATGGGTCTGTAATCTCAGCTCTCTGGGAAGCCCAGGGAGGAGGACTGCAATTTGAGGTCAGCATGGGCAATTCAGAAAACTCACAAGATCCTATCTTAAAATCCAAAAATAAAAAGGGCCAGTATATAGCTCGGTGCAAAGGTCTTGGATTCAATCCATAGCACTGCAAAAAAGAAAATTGCTATGTAAATATGGTTTTGGAGTTACATATCATTCTGGAAATCAAGACAATTTTTATTAGGTCTAGAATTCTTTTGGGGCACGTCAAGCTTCTTCAAGTGTGAGTGCCACCACCATATCTGTGGGGGATGTGTGTTGGAGAAATTCAGAGCAGAGATTCAAGATGTAGAAAGGCCTAACTGGGACCCAGTTAGGAATTTCATAGCTGCTCCAGAAATTCCTTCAGTACAGCCACAAAGCCACTAAATGGAATCCCTTTTATTTCACTTCAGTTTTTTTTTTCTGTAAACCAAGAAAAATTGTATGATGCATATCAGGCTGGGAGGCAGAGGGAGAAAGAGAGGGGCAGAGGGAGAGGGAAAGGGAGAGAGTGAGGCAAGGAGGGGTGAGGGAGGGAGAGACAGAAGACTGCTAAATCCTTTTGCACATCTACCTTTTAATAGCTTGGGCTTGTCAGTTCAACATACATGATGTGCAAGAATAATTTCATTAAAGTTAGAGCAGTCACCTTACACTGCCCACCAGGCATTCTGCTTTTGGATCTTGTGCAAATGAACATCAGCTACTACTGTGTGCAGGAGGAAAGTCACATATCAGATGGAACTGGCATCTTTAAGGGATAAATGAGGACAATCCCCAGACTCTCTGTTCTGTATCTACGTTCAAATTCTGAGTTAGCAAAAATCTGAAACAATTACGTTAATAAACTTGAAAACTTCCACGATGATTTTCTGAACTCCTTACACAAGTCTTCTCGTTTTTCAGGTTTCTGACAAGATGGATTCAGTCTGGGCCAGCACATCCCCCTTATCTCCTTGGCTCTGGGCCCTGAAAGACAAGTAGGTGAAGGAATTATTTATAGGGGAGACAGGGAATGAATGGAAGATGGGCTTCCGAGTCTGTGTAGCTGTCATTGAGTGCTCCCCTCAGCTCCCTGCGGCATCTCTCATGATGCATAATGGCAAGTGGCTTAAACACACCCAAGCCTGCCTCGGAAAGAGCCAGAGAGCCGGCAGCCCTGCGCAAGGCACCACTGTGGTAAAGATGGCGGCGATGTCTCTGCTGCTCTGCATTGAGAGGCGGTGCTGGCCTTTCTCCTCTTGATGCTCAGCCAGACTCAGTTATGTCTTTGTCAAAAAGGAAGACTGAAGTTGTCCTGGGCCCCCAAGACAGAGTCACAGGAGAGCTGCTGCCACACTTCCTCCCTTTCGGCTGGGGTGAGGAAGCACAGGAGACCCATGGAGAAGCCCACGTGGAGAGGCACTGAAGCCCTGGAGCCAGCTCTGCTGAGCTCCCAGCTGACGCCAGCACCCACTCACCAGCCACATCGCTGAACCTCCTGGAAAGTGGATATTGAGCTCCAGCGGATGCCACACTGAGCAGAGAAGAGCTGCATCCCCAAGCCTCATTCCAATGAGCAAAATAACCAAGTGTTTGTTTGCTTGGTTTCTAAAAATATAGTAACAATCTGTAGGAGACACTTCCAGATCCTTGTCTCAGTCCAGGAAGCTAATATTTGTAATCCCAAAGTTATGTTATTGGGATCCCATCAAGTTGATTCCAATCTGCCACTTTCAGTGCAACCCACAGCGAAAATAAAGACACTAAATTATATTTTCAATCATCAGGGAGTCAAAGGGCTCTAAGTTCAGTCACAAAGATGGCTTTCCAGAACCAAGAGAGCGACCCAGGGCCTCACCGAGTTTTATTCAGTGGAGGAGTGGCTTGAGGAGGATTGACTGAGAATTGTGGGGAGTAGATGACTACTATGAGCTGAGCTAGGTGTGTGGCCTGAATTTATCTCTGTGATATGCAGAGAGAGTAATCTGCATTATATAGTATCTAATGTTTTGGTAAGTCTGGTGCTTCAGCTTTGGTGTAATTTTTCAAGTCCCAGGAAGTCATAGCCTCTGTCTTGAGGCTCGATCCCAGCTGGCACTGTGGAGCATTAGCTCTACTGTCCTGTCTCAACCCAGCTCACATTAAAGAGCAGCAAGTGTAAGTTACCAGGGAAACACACATGCCACCTTCAAAGACTATCACCAGCACCGCAGCTAGACCAATACACATCGCTTAAGGCCAATTGAAGGATAAACAGTAGTCCTAGCCAGCTCTGTACAGAACAATACGGAGAAATAGGGTCAGGCTCAGTCAAAATGGAGACAGTCACTCTTCTTTCAAGGAGAGCTGCTCAGGTGGTCCTCCACAACAATCAACTGGCACATCACCTTAAAAGTACTGGTTCATAGTTCATTCGAATTGAGCTTCCAAGACCGGCGGAACAGAACTTCCATGACTGGCCTTTTGCGGCAAAGGAGTGCTTTGCCTTTGAAAATGAAGGGTTGGCCTTCAGTCTCAAGGGACTCACTGGGTTCGTAGTTGTGCCTAATTCTATGAAAACAGGTCCACCTTAGCAAGCAAGAAGTTTGGAAAACTTGGAGGTGAATAAGTTAAGCCCCATATCTGTCTTTTGGATCAGAAGATACTGTCCATGGTGGCCAATCTCCCTCTGGCCATAATCCTACTTCTCTGGCCCACTCAGCCTTCCTGGGGATTACATGGTTGTTAAGCAGTAGCTGTGTTCTCTCTCTCTCTCTCTCTCTCTCTCTCTCTCTCTCTCTCTCTCTCTCTCCTCTCTCTCTGTTTTGCTCTCTGTTTCTGTCTCTGTCCCTCCCTCATATTATTGAATGGCTCTTCCTCAGCTCTTGCTAGCTTGCCCTCCATGAGCAGCTCCCCATGGCTGCTGGCAGCCATTTAGATTCAGACACATGTTACCAAGTTTCCTCTGCTCACTGGAATCCCGGGAGAGCTGGATCCATGGTCTAGAAGGGATGACTTGGATATTCTGGAGATCACTGAATTACTCAGGGTGGACTCTGTCACCTGGATGTTTACACTCATAGGATTCTCTTTTGGGATTTCAGGGTCATTCCTAGATTTAGTTGTGATTTGCTCTGTCTCACCTGTCCCTGAGTTCTGCACTCCACAGAGTGGGACCTTACTGGATGTGTGACAGTTATGCAGGAAGATGGTGCTTTGGGGTGGAACACTGATGCAGGACCTCATTACTGATGCTCGTCTTTGGAGTGTTGAGTCTCCTGCCACTCAGTGTGATGCCTAGTCCTCCTTGTTAAATGGCAGCCCTTCTCTGTCAGCACTCTTGGAAACCACAGTGAACTCTGAGGGAGGCTAGAATGTCACCATGATCATGACTGATGCAAACCTATTTCTTTTCAATGCTATATCAAAAAGGGAATCTACTGGGCTCTGCAAAGGAGCAGGGGACTGGGAAGAGCACAGGACACTTTCTGAGGTGCCATGGCTATCCCAGCTCTGGTCTGGAAGGTAGTTACTTGGGTGTAATGTATGTGTGCAAATTTATTGAGCCATCCAGTGCACTTCTTAGCCAAGCACCTCATTCAGAGCCATTTGGCTTTATCTTGGCCTTATTTTGGAAGGTGAATGTGGCTTCCTTTGCTTAAGTCCTCTTGGCCTGGGAGAAGTGATACTTTTCAGGTTGAAGCAGGTAAACAGGAGCACTGGAATAATGTCTAGATAGTGGGAGGAAATAAAAGGCACTGAAAATACTGCTGAGGATTGGAACAGATACAGAACCACTGAAGGAATAGCTGCGGGGGCAGAATCAGTGGCAGATTAACATACTGCAATTTCCAATTTCCATTAGAGGTGGGGTCCAACACCCTGAACAGGTAGCGGGCAGCGAGAACGCCTCACTTGGGAAGCTACACTGCTTTACAAGGCTTCTTTTGTGGGGCCATGAAGCCTTTTGGTGGTTCATGGGTCTCTAAGTCACTCAAACCGAACTTGTTTGGAACAGCCTCAGGGCACCACTTCTTATTGTGAAAGCCTTGTTAGCCCTCCAGACCCAGCTCAGTGAGTCTCTCAGTTTGCTGCCTTTATGCGGGGCCAATCCTCCTCTGTTTGTCTGGAATAAGGGTAATTTTCTCCCTATGCTGTCAATCTCTAATATATTTTATTTGAGAAACATGTTTTCACCGTCAATCCTCACCAAGTACCAGTAAGATACAAAAGCAGCCAACTTTTGAAAGAATCTAATTGTGAGGAAGTTGGTCAGGCACTTTGGACCTCACTGTGGGGTTTTCATATGAGGGTAGAGCTTTATTTCAGTTTTAAAAACTGTATTCTACAAACAAAGTGTAGGTGTGAGGACCCAGCCTGCCATGGTGGGCTGTTCAGCAGAGAGGAAGGCTTTTAAGTCATTCTCAGTAAAAGAAACAAAGAAGAGAAACTGTGGAACAGGATCTCCATGCCTGCTGTTTAGTGCATTTTTCACAAAATGACTTTCAAGAGCATAGCTGTATTTCTCTCCTTCTACCCCCATTTTTAGGGTACTCTGTCATCTACTGATTTTGGTGCCCAGTTAGTTCTGCTGATCAGCTAGGGGTCCAAATCCCACGGCCTTGTCCTGGATGAATCAATCATTTGAGAGGCAAACTGATATGCTGGCAGGAGCATAGATTCTAGAACCAGATAGATCTGGGATTGAAAGCCAGGTCCTGCCATTGATGAGCATCTTCAATTGGTGATTTTTTTTTGTACCTGATATGAATTCCAAAATATGAACAAGATCTAGTTCTGAGTTGCTGAAGATCAAATGACATGACATATATCCACGCCTGTTGTGAGTTGATACTAAATACATATTGTTTTATTTGTTTTAAAAAAGTTTCCCCAGATTGCTATTTACAATCTTACCTCCTTTTGGCCAGTTGTCTCAACCAAGACTGACTCTCTTTGGGCCAAGGAAATAGTTCAGTAAAATAAGCACTTCCCTGGCAAGCAAGGACCTGAGTTTAATCCCTGGTTCCACAAAAAAAAAAAAAAAATGACTCTCTTGAACCTCAGCAATGCTTGGCACATAGTATGATTTTAATACATACTAAATAAATGAAATGTGCCCTGCTTCCCTAGGGCATTTCCACTAGTGGCATCGTCTGCAACAGCAGAGAAGCCTCATGTCCATGTTCTCTTTTCTAGGTGGTGCTGTGTCTGAAGAAGGGGCTTGGTGGGACTCGGGAGGGAAAGAAAACCATGATCTGATAAGAGGTAAAGGTGGGGAGCTGGCCTCCCAGAGGACCTTATATAACATTTACTGTTTCCATTTCTTTCTAATTTGCTTTTGAGGTCTTTCCCTTGAGATTGGCCACAGGCCAAGATAGCCATCTCTACGAGAGAAATGAGGCACAAGTGTGAGCCTCATGTGAGGCACAGTGAGGACAAATGCATGAAACAGGAAATGCATGACTCATAGGTCCCAGAGAGGCATGGGATGGGGGTGGGGCTGACAGGAAGTCTGTAGATGTCAAAGGGCTCAACTAGTAGCAGATGGAGGGGACCATCGAGATAGCGCAGTGGATTAAGCACTTGCTTAGGCAAGCGCAGGGACCGGGGTTTGATCCCTGGCACCACATGCCACACACATGCCTGCAATCCCAGTGCTGGGGAGGCTGAAAACAGGAGGATCATCACGAATCCAGGCTGCATAGTGAGACCCTTTACCAAATACATTAAAAAAAAAAAAACCTAGCAGCAGGTAAAAGAGAGACAGAGGCAGAGAGAGTGACAGCCTACAGGACTACTTCAGGTTCAGGGGCCTTATGCCCTTTATCTGTCTGGTGACAGTTTAAAGTACAAGCGACAGCACATGGGAGGGCACAACCTTGCTCTTGTGGCTTAGGCTATTCTGGGTCTGTTGTATCTCCATACATATTTTAGAATTGCTTTTGCTAGTCTGTGAAGACTGTCATTGGAATTTTGATGTTTGTATTGAGTCTATAGGTCACTTT